CTTGCAAATGACACATCACTGGCCGGTTCTGATTTCCCATGTAGCCCATGGTGATCTTGTTTGATGCTTCAGAAAATTCTGTTACCTAGTCCACTGCTCTAGGGCATAGACCGCTTTAAAAAGTTCCTTTTTATTTCCCAAGAGTGAGGTACACAGGAACTCAGTAAGTCCTCTAACTCCTGAAAATGTGCCCAGATAACTCACTTGTACTCGTGAGCTGTCACGGCCACCTTGGCTCCATCTTTCTGGCCCCGCTGTTGCAGTTCTGAAAAGACTGTGATTGTGGTGATCAGTAATACTCGTTAGATGCTGCTGTGCTGGGCACCGTTCTAAGCACCTCACTGACGTATTGCCTTGTCGAATCCTTACGGCACTTCTATGAGACGGTGACTGTTAAGATCCCATTTTATAGATACGGGAGTTGGTGCTCAGAGAGGGTCAGTAACTTGCCCAACCAAGGCTACCTACTTGCAGAGCCAGGATTTGAACCTGGGACCTGATTCCAGAGACCGCGCTGTGAAATCCAGGACCTTGAACTGCATCCCTGCATTCACTGCGTACGTGTGCCGGGCTGAGAGCTTTAGTTTAATCTCTCACCCATCCTGCAGGGAACATTATCCCATTTTGTAGTCTGCTTGAGGTTCCCATCCGATAAGTGGCTGAGCCGGGGCTCGAACTCTGGTCTGCCTGGCCTCAGAGCCTGGGGATAGCCAGATGCCGTGGATGCCAGTCCCGCCATTGGGATGGAAACGACTGGGCCCCCTTTCTGATCTTCTTGCCCCTCGCATCCCCCCACCTCAGTGCCTTATTCCTCTGCAGCTCTGGGGCCTGCCCGGGGCAATGCCTGCAATCTCAGACCTTACGGAGGGTTTGAAGGCGATGTGGGACCCTACAGGGAATGTGTCCCAATTTCCCATTCCTGCTGTGTGTCATCGAACACCGTCGTCAGACACTTGTGAGAATGGAAATGAGGCTTGTCAGGCTTCGATTCATTGCTAGGCACGTAGAAAATGCTCATTACGTGACAGCCACTATTTCGGCCATTAGTGTTAGAAGCACAGTAGTTAGAGAGGAGCGGTTCTCTGGGCCACTCGTTTCACACAATTAGTTAAATAAATCCCAACTAAGCACTCAACATACGGGAGCTCTGGAGACACCATGACGCGTGACGTGCTGTGCACCTTTAAGGTGTCACGCGCCAGTGGGGGAGACAGGTGACTACTTATTGCACACCTTGCAATGTGCTGGTCAGAATAGGCGCCTTTTTATCTGGGCCTGAATAGATTAGTTGGGTTTCATCAGATCGGAAGCAGGGGATGGACATGAGGAAAGTGGGTTCTGGCCAGGAAACCCATGAAATAAACATCTGTTGGATTGTATCTTAGGGGAAAGGCTGTCACGTTTGTGGATAGGGCGAAAATAGTACAGTCCGAATTACTCTGGAGGGTCCCTTCAGAGGCCGCTGGGCCAGACAGACTGTGCAGCCGAGGCCATGGAAAGGGGTTGGACGGTGTTGAGGGGCTGCGAGGAATGACGAACACAAACGTCTCAGCACAAGGATCGTGTTGGCGGTGGTGCGTGGTGCCCTCCAGGAGAGGCGCAGCAGAGCCAGGGGACTGAGGGCCCATCGAGCACAACTCTCCTGCCCCCCAGTCCGGGGCACCCCTTACTGAGCGCACTGGTGGCGGAGGTGCCGCACTGTGCACGTGTTCTCTGTCGCGCTCTCGTCTTGCTCAGGCCAGCATGTGCCGTTCGGGAGCGTGAGCCGGAGGTGTGTGCCGTGTGGCCACTGACGGACGCAGACACCTGACGGGGAAACTGCCAATGAGTGCGATCTCTTTGATTCAGAGGAGATTCCGTCTCTTCCAGCCTGTCATTGCCACGTGGATGCCCTATGCCTGTGCCCTTGTATGAGGTTTGGGCCAGCCGAGAACTCCAGGGGGGAAGAGACCCTGTGAGAAAATTCAGAATTCAGACAGGCCTTGGAGGAAAGGAGCAGTTCCCCTTTGTCTGTGTCTGCAGTACACAGCCGCCACCTGCTCTGGGTTTCTTTTTTTTTTTTGG